CGAGAAATAGCTTTGATAAAATCGAGGCGCTCGTTCTGTCGGCAAATCCTCGCTGCAACGCTTGTCTAGCTATTTGCAAAACTGATTTAATACTTTTTACGTTAAAGAAATGCGCAGTATTGAACGGATATTTTTTTCAGTGTGTTTTAAGCACAGAATACATATAATACTAATTTTAGTTTATAAAAAATACTCGTAAATCTCTAAAATAACACCTTTATTAAGATTTTTAAAATTTTGGGTATACATATAAATACTTAATAACTCTACCTTCGATAGAAGGTAAGTTAAGTTGACTATCTTACTACTTTTGCTACCGGTTACACTCAGTTCACAAGCTTCTACTCGTATAAGCATAAACAGTAATTAAATGCATAGTTAACACCAGCAGTGTCCTTAACAATTTTACGTCACGTTTTTAAGTCACTGAAAGTGTCACTTAAGTATTCAAGTACTACTCTAAAGTCTTACCAACTTCAGTACTTAGCCACATCCTTGTCCAATACGGAGTTAAGCCGAGTCGCAAACTGTCCTCATGACACGCATAAAGCGACCGAATTAACATAAGCGCAATAAACAACTCTAAGCGTAAACCAAAAGTTACAGAATCAACGTCGTGGGTAACAAGCCGAGTGGTTAAACTTCTGCTTAAATCTCAACTTCAATAGGAGTTTTAGTCTTTACACATGTGCACATAACTTATTTATACAGCTAGAGAAAATAGTGATATAATTGTTAACAATTAACGATACAAAAATATCTTTTTTGTCTTGATACTTTTAACTCACAAATAAATAATAAACAAAGCTAGTTAAATGGGATTCGTAACTGTTATAGAAACTACTAAAAAGTAGGCAGTGCTCAACGGTATTTCGCTGTTTACATTTTCACTTCAATCTTAGTAACAATAGCATTACCAAATCAACTTTACCCTAAAATATTTCAAGGAAACAAATGACGTATCCCGATCATCTCTGATTCCATTTCTGTCGGCGGCAGTTTAGGCAATCGTCCCAAAATAAGCACCAAATTACGAAATCAGCGCTGTAAAGTACATATAGTCAGCGCAGCGTTAAAAAGTTCGTGACACCCAAAGTAGCCAAAAAGTTCGCAACATGTCTTTGTTACAATTAGAATAAGGTTGTCAAATTTTTGGCTACTCTGGGTGTCGCGAACTATTTGAAGCTGACTGTACGAGACTGCGAGTGCTTAAAAGTTAAATGCGCAGCCTGGTCGTTAGGCACATACATTATGCAGCTCGTAGGCACTCCGCGGTTCTTGCTAAGATCACTGGTTTTAGCCCCAATTTCGGAAAATGTGTATTCAATAACATTTTAAACAATCTTCATGATTTCTTCATTAATAATATGTGCCTTTTATTTGATACGTAGGTACATATTCTATGACGACACATTGATACCATTTTAGAACGACACATCGATTGATGTTAAGAGGGGGCGGAAAATTTATAAGCTCTTTTAGCAGTTCTAAAGGTTTTCAGTTTGTGGGATGTTTGATTATTTTTAAACCACTGATTATTTTCTTTGATATAAAAGCAATGTACAGGAGAAACCAGCAAAATGTGGTCTTTCCCTTTGATTACAATTTTGTAACAAAATCAATGAGGTTCGGTTTTGGCCCTTCCCACGTTTGAATTTCTACCATTGATTAATCCTTTGTTTAATGTTGTTACTTGTATGTGTGGGTTGATTTGATATTAGTTCATGTTTACAGTTAAAACCGAACCATGATTATTACGAGTAAGGAATTGTCTTCTCCATTCTTAAAACTGTATGAACTGTATCTCACAATCTGAATGTATAATCACATTAAGTAGAACTACTTATCTAAAAAATTTAAAGCCTGCTTTGCATAGAACGTTAAAGTAACGCCCGCTGACCACGAATGGCGTAGAATGGCAACAGAACGTAAAGTTAAAAACGCGATAGTATGCAGAGTGACAAGATTTACGCGCGAGTCGTTTGTTTTCTTGCGTAATCTCCGACGGAGGTGCTCGCTAAACTGATTACGAGTTCAAATTAAGTCGTAAACTTGTAACGCTCAAATTACTAAGCATTAGCACAGACGCTGCTCTTAAGGTTGCCCGAGGTTATATTATGCCGTATTTGTTCCATTTTATTACGCTGCGAGTGTGATGAACGCCGATTAATAAGGTGCCTCCCAAATTAAATTCGTTTAATTTCGCGGTTACGGCAGATATTCAGTCTTAGGTTTTTATTGTTGCCAGTAAAGTCATTAGATCTTCGTATCAAAGGCTTAATTAAATTTTATGGCGTAATTAATCTAGCGTCAGGTCTTGTTGGGTATTATTACGTTGTTAATAGTCTGAGATCCCGCCCAACATTGATTATTCTCTTATCTAACAAATGAGAGTATTTTATATTAATGCTAAGCTGTAGCAAATATCCAGGGAGTAGGTTGTTTAATCAATTTAAGTCCTCTTTTTCTACCATGTGGATGACACATTGGTGATATATTAAATTAACACTCATAAAATCAAGTGTAAGTTAGTACCCATCTTTAGACCAGGTCTTGGATGTACACCACTTTTCAAGTGTGGAGTTATGTGAAGTACGGAGCAGCCAACTAAAAGTTGACATTTATAGAGTACCTAGTAAAGGTTATTACAGCGTACAATTTAATCAAAGAAAGCGTAGTCTTTCACTTTGAAGACTTTTAATAACATCGTTAGTGCAAAGAAGAATATCGTCCAGTTAGGAATCGTGTGTGCTACAGGGAACACTAATGGCTACGCCGGATTCAATACTTAAAAGAATGTGTGCCATTTATTTTGCTCGCTCCTTAAGTGCTTTATACGTGGGACACTATTTAAGTTGTGAGCCTAACTATGAAAACAAAGTAGTTTATTATTAAATTGGTATTGATTGCGTTTATTGGTATTGTCTTTCATGATTTATGTACTTTTTAATGTGTCCGAAACACTTTTCATAGCATTTTTTCCACTCAGCTTGAGGCACCTCCAAAGCATGGTTTTTGACCGCACCGGCAGTTGCTTCTGGCTACATAAATCGCTGTTCTCGCATTTAATTTTAATATATGGGTACCAAAAGAAGTGCCTAGATTCCGATCAAGAATTTTGTAGCGTTGGACCTGTTTATTTCATATTTTGAGTGTTCAAATAGTCAGTTGTTTGACGAGACGTGTAAAAGCTCACTTTTTCGTCACGAATGGCGATTCGACTATGCTGGTCAGTTTCCCTTATTAAACTGAAGACTTTTGAAAAAAAAATTGCTGTTTACTATTAGGAATTAGCCATTCTTAATTTCTCTAGTAACGTTTCTGTCATATAATCGGATATTTCGGAAAAATAGGCGACCGTAAGTTTCAAAGTGTTCCGAGCGCATGGGACTTTTGTTGGAATTGGTTCATCTTAAAACACCTCCATAGTCGATAGCTGTTTATTTTCAGGATCATTATGCATAGATCCTTAATTCGTCAACTGTCACAATTTTAAAAACGGCTTTTAAAGCTTTTTAAACGTATTTATCAAACATTTTCAAGGACTAAACGACTCAAGCGTCCTATTGAGCGTTTGAAAATTTTTGGGACATCCAGCGAGTAAAAAACGTATTAACCATAATATGGTCATACAATATTTTATTACTGCTAGTGGAATTAATGCCTAGGATTATCTCAATCCTACGATATATCACATGACGAGGTTTCTCTTCCATTTTTCTGACAACATCAATGTTTTCCGCCACTATTAGTCATTTTGGACGACTTTCGCAAAGTTCACTGGTGAGCCAATGACATACAATATTATACTTCTTAAACTAGCGTTTTACAATGGTAAAGGACAGATCTTTATCACCAAAAGAGAAATTTAGCTGACCGCTTCAGTTTTGTATTGATTACCCACGTCGAAAGTCATAATAAATCTTCGTGCGTAAATTTCCGCAAGTCAATTCCATGTTTTTGTAGAAAAGATAATTTTCAATTCAATGTTAATAGTACAAAACGTGCTCAAATGATAAAAAGTTTTGAATAAGGTTGTAGTCAAAAATGTCAAACTTTTCATTAAAAGTATCAGATGTCGTCTAACAACACGTTATGTTGTCGAGGCTCACAACTTAAATAGTGCCCTAGGTATTCTTTGTTTCTTGTAGAATGTGCTTTAAGTGGCCCACTTGAGACGAATTCGTGACGTTTCATTTAAAGTTGTACGATTTTGAAGCTTCAGAGGACGCTAAAGGCTATTACAGGAAATTGATATTCAGTTTAGCTTTTCAATAAATTGAATGTGTCATTTTAACATTAATGTAAAATACTTTACAGTAATGAATGTTGCATTAATTCGTAGTACTCACAAATTTAGTTAAGAGGTTTTTAATAACGATGAATTTAGTAAAACTCATAATTATGTACATTTAGTTTACCTAGAAATCTGGTACAGCTCGCAACCAGCTTAAAAGTTAATACTGTATGGATTTTGGGAATAAATTCAAAACAGTATTTAATATTTTAATGCTAGGTTAGGTTATATTCTTAATCCCTGGATATTTCAGGGTATTCTTGAAAAATATTAGCTAAATAATGGAGAAAAGTATTATTACGGAGAAAAGCGTTTAATCCTGTAATTTGCATAGCTAATTATAAAAATGGAAAGCTTATCTTCATAGCCTAGAGTGGTAGGTAGTACTTTATACGAAGGCAATCAGGCTCAAGCAAAATAATTTGTCCATGGGCTAAATACTATTTCATTAGATAAGATTGTGAAATACAATAGTTATCAACAAATAATGACATAAGGTAAAATTCCCTGATTGCATAATATACAAAAACATTCTAAATGAACTAACTATACCTACTGGAATCACGGATAATAGATATACATATTCTTTATAATATTGTTAAATGACTTAAAAATGTTAAGATCTAGATGCCTACAGTACGTAATGAACTGCCTTAGCAAAGAATCTAAGGGGATTTCTAATAAAATCGTTTTTTATTAGACAATGCCGGCTGCCGCATGGCGCGCGCCTTCGAACAGTTTCCGCAGTGGGGAGACCGAGGTGAGTTGTAACAGAGGAGAGTTGTGACATTGTCGATTTTTTGGAACTTATTAACTAAGAGCGAGCTCGTAACAGTGCGAGTTTTTTAGTTCAAGTCTCGAGCTAACAAATATTCACTGTTGTGAGCTCGCTGATAGTGTAAGTTTCCAACATTGTCGAATTTGTTGATTTTTACAAATTCGACAATGTCACAACTTCCCTCTGTTACAACTTTCCTCTGTCTCCCCTGCCTGTTTGTCGACCTCTCACAGAAATTAATTTGAAAGCGTGGTTATTATTTTAAAACCGCAATTTTCTAAAAAAAACCTTTCAACTTTTCAAACTGCTCGACGTAATGATGCTCGGGTAAGTTAATTGTTTCGTGCTTGCTTATTTGTCGATACAAACATATGTTTACCTACATGAAATAAAATTACTGAAAATAATAACTACGAACAAAACAGTTGCTTATTTATTTACTCAAATATACAAGCTTAACCTTTAACTATGGACGTCGGGTCTCAGAGGCCCACCCACCTTTTCAATTTCTCGGTTTAAATACCTTCCCGTCACGTGCTGCTCTCGACTATCTCAGTAGCTTCAGTTTTAACTGTGTTTGGACCAAGGAGGCATAAAATCACGTCTTCCGGTACTTATTACGTGAGTAATAACCATCCAAAATTTTATCGGGGCCTGGGAGACCCGATGACTATAATTTCCATACAAACATGCTTGTATGGATGTGACTTGTCAACTATATTTTTTTTATAGTATATCAATATAATATGTTGTAATTGTTTTAGTTTAATAATACATAATGGTAGAAAGTATCTGAGTACATCAGCTATATTATTAGCCCAACTATCTAAGTAACATTCCAGAAGTAAGGTTTTACTTGTAGACGATCCTTTTTTTGAGTTTAGATGTCTTAGAAGGTACCATTGCTGCAGATTCCGATTCTGAATGGTGTATATTTTGCCTATCAAAGCTCTCAAAGAAAGATGACACATGCCTGTAGAGATAATTTGTCTTTAGTGTTCTAGGCCACTGTTTATAATTTTAGCAAGTTTAACCCTTGTCAAACATTTTATTTTATGTCTTTCAGAAATTCTGTTTATGTTTTTATGTTACACAGTTATTAATTAGCAAGGAAAAAAATATTAGTTTGATTTATTATTAATCGACTGTAATTAAGGAGCCTATATGTGATGCCAAGTCAATTAACACTGAAAAATTTCTATGTTTTTTAAATTTGCCAAAAAATAATTAAATAATGATTAAAAATTGATTACGTTTACGACTAGATCCTTTATTAATAGTTATTAGATATATATCAACTCCTTGATAAATTCAAATTGGTTCAGATATGAAATTATGAAGAATTTTAGATAGGGGTCTGTGAGACCCGACGTCCATGGGAGTGTGATTATTTTTTCACGACTATAGTTAAAGGTTAAATTGGCTATACCGGGTGTTAGGTAAATGGGTATACAATGAGCTAACACTAGCCTATGTTAACATATGCATATAAATGGTATGGTGAAGTCAGAAAATCGATATCATCATTTTAATTATTTTAATTTTCATACAAATCTGATTTTATAAATTTTATTTTGTATGAACATTTAAAAAATTAAAATGATGATATCAAACTCACTTAACCATACCATTTATATGCATATGTTAACATGGGCTAGTGTCGGCTCATATACCCATTTACCTAACACCCTGTATAAATAGATCATGATCACCTTTCAATTATTAAAAAAGTGCTTTAACACTAGAAAGGCCGCCGTCCCATTTTTGTCCCACTTGCGAGTTTGATCGTCTCTAAGTTTTTTATTTTTTAACGAAAGTCCATGAAACTTTTTGACTTTTTCTGATTTATTGAGTTTTATCATTTTTTAATGTATNAAAATCTAAACCGCGTAAGATAGATGAAGGGGGTAAAACGAGATCCACGCGTACGAAGTCGCGGGCGGCCGCTAGTTTGATACTATAATACTAGAAAAAAAATAAAAATCGGTTTTACCTAGAAGCGCCACTGGGTCAATTTTGTCCCACCCTGGTATTTGCAACAATAATTCGACGAAGAGTTCTTGTTTCGAGGAGATACGAGAGTGGAGAGGTGAGGAGCGTTTAAGTGACTCGTGACAATGCAGAAATGTAAATATATTGTACTAGTTCTTGCCTGTGACTTCACCCGTGAGAAATTAAATTTATCATAGGAAGACCTAATTTCTTTACATTTATCGTTGTTATTTGACCAAATAACTGAACATTATTCTAAATTATAGCCTATATTATGTTATTCTGAAGTATTAGCAATAAAACTGCAAAGTTTTATTAAGATCGGCTTAGTATTTTTTGCGTAAAAGAGTGAAAAAACATCCATCGATCTAACCATGAATCCATACTCACTTAGTTCAAGTTCAAGGCATATATCCACCCATTCATCCTTCATATCCATTCACCAGTCTATCCATCCTTCAATTCATCAATATTTATTAACTTTTACATTTATAATATTAGAAGGAAGGTGGCTTTTAAACATTGGCCAGTTCATACATTGTATGATTTGATACATTTTTAAAATGTGTGACTTATACAATTTTGAAAATTAAACGTACATACTTTTCATTGTAACTGGTAAAAAACTTCACTGTGTGTGTACGGATAACAGAAAAAGAACCATACCTATAGACATTCCTAAACACATAGTACACCAGAGAGACAAAAAATCCATACAAAAAAACTTTGTGCAAAATGTGCACTGATATTTTTAAGATATTTATTTTTCTTTCAAAAATAATAATGACTAGTTAAAATAGTAATTTCATAATTTTAATACAGTATAACACCATGTAATATGAGACTATTTTTATATGAAACCAAAAATATTTAACCTTTAATATTTCAAAATTAAAATTGAATACATTTATATTTTTAAAGAAATAAGTACATATTGATTTAATTATATAGATAAACCTTTTTTAAGGATACTACAAATAGTTTTAACCATAATGTTCATGTCAAAAACTAAAAAAATGTTACAAAATGTATGCTGGGACAAAATTGACCCAGCGGCGCTTTTAGGGGGGTCGCAAACTTCGGCACTTCTAGTGTTAATCAAAACATCTCTCAACTCTCTACCAGTTTCATTAAGGGGTGTGTCTGTGTACACAAATTGCCACATTTTAATATTTGATTACCAATTCACAAAACACGGCTGCTGTTAAATGCCTACGATTGTTTGACGTCATTGATTGCGAAATGTTTTATGCAAGCAACAGGCTTCTAACGCCTCAGCAGTTTTTTGGATTCAGGTGATAATATAAACGGCGTGATTAAAGAAGCGGTAAGATGTACTTAAAGGATTAAATATTACTAAACTTAAACTAAACTTAAATCTCTTAGACTGGGTTGCAACATCTTACGTGATCTTACTTTAACTTTAACGAACGTCAAAAATCTGTCAAACTTCATACAAAAAGCACCGGTTTTCGTTATAGTTATCGTTAGGTAGTTCCTCAGCCTTACTGTGCGCAGTGCGATATTTTAAGCACATCAGTCTGACGTGGCTAAATCAGACTGACACCTTCCTAACGGGCCGTCCAAATCATGGAATCATATTTATTTATTTCATTGGTCTGCCAATATCAATCAGATTATTAGGTACCAAACTGGGAAAAAGAAACGAAGTGAATTTAGATTTGACATAACGTGTGTTCCTCAGTAAGTAACTATTTTTACATTTCCCAAGCTAATTTGTCGATGTTTATTCTGTTATTTTCATGGGCGTATACAAACATTTCGAGAAAATAAATTTCTATCTCATAAATCCGCGTATTTTGAAGTCTATGAAATATCCGTTAGTCAATACAGCTAAAGGGTTTCTAATAAAATCCTGTTGGCAGAACAATGGCCGCCCGCCGGCGGCGCGTCTTCCGCAGCCGCAAATTGTTCCGCCGAAGCGAACGAAATAAAACCTTTTTTGACGCTAGAATTAGTAATTTTTAACGAATAACGTTGGAAAAACATCCAACAAGGTTATTTGTAGTTTAGTGTAAATGGTTACAAATAAATTTGTGCCACCTAAGAGATTGGTGTAGACTTTGGAGAAACATTCCCCTGGGACTGCGGTTGTCTATGGGCGACGGTATCACTTACCATCAGGTGATCCGTCTGCTCGTTTGCCTCCTGTCACATAAAAAAAGTATTGTTTATTCTGAAATTAAATACAAAAATAGTATTAGGTACTTACCTATCTGTAGTAATAGTCGTAAATCTTTATAGCATCATGTTGATACAGAATGAGTCACATACCTACTTAACTATATTTCCCTTAACTTTATGACACATTGTTGTGACATATTGCCATTTGTTCGTAATGATTGGGATATGTCTCTGTCAATAACATCCCTCCTTCGCACGTCTATAAATAATGGCTAACTTGGTATTTGGTATGTTATTCGATTTGTCCTGCTAAAAATATCCGCGTATCGATACAGAAGGGCTTTTAATGAAATCTAATTCGGAACAATGGGCGCGTATTGTGACCCCGGACAGCTCAAATAGTTCAGCCGCAGAGAATCATCTAAACAAATATGTAAAAAGAATTATATCGATAAAAACTTTTTCAAAAAGAAACTTTATTCTGAAATGCTGTACTGTAACGAAAAAACGCATGGAATTTATTCCTCTTTTTTCTGTTTTCGCTTCACGCTTTTGAAATTATTTGAACCTTGCATACAAGTATTTTTTTTTCGTTTTAGTACAACTGCATTTCAGAATAAAAGCTTGTTTTTAAAAAAGTATTTTTTTTTCATTATAATTTTATTTTGCACTTGTTAGTTGTTAGGTTGTATGGATGAATGTTTGTTACTCATTTGTTTACACAAAAATGGAACGCGATGAAACATTCCAAAGTTCATCAGTTGCATCAGAATAGCAGTTTTGCTTAGTAAGGCTTGATACGTGAGCAAAAGCTAGCAATCAGATCAAATGCTTTACCAAAAGCG